AGTTTCATATCAGTTGTCATAAACAACCGAACGAAAAACATCGATCGTTATTTTTTTATTCGATTATTCCATTCAATATATCGTTTGGTTATTAAGTTTGGATTAACCTAACTAACTAAACTATACATGGAATGAAATAATTGATTTATCGATCGATATTTTCATTTGGTTGTTTTTGACAACAGATATGAAACCACCCTGTTCGTCTATACAGTAAGGGTTTATAAAAGGGTTTTCCCAATTTTGATCACAGTCCAGTACACTCAAGAGTTAAATATGGCCGTCAGGAGAATCCTGGGTGTTTGATTAAGTGTTTCCTAATTTAACACTGTTCAATCTTGATTGGGCTTTAAACAGGTTCCATTTGAAGCCACTTATGTTGGCTGGTAGATAATATTTTGTCAACTATACTTCAATTTCATCGATTACAGTTTTTATATAATACTTTATTAGTATGTAGTACTTTTTACTGCATAGTAACTAACAGTTTTTTAAGACAATGCACCGCATATGGAATAAACTATTACCGGAAGTCTCATGATATAACCTAGACCCTAGACTGGTTTACTTTTTCGTTTCGATGTCCCAAGAGGCCAAAAAAATCATCCGTTCAAATTCATATAAAACTAGTGATAATGATGTGATGTCGACATTATTTTGTAAAAACGTCTAATTTGCGCTCAATTACTAATAAAAAATTTAAACGGCTAATAGTTTTACATAACGAGCAGTTATATTACCCAATGACTAAATATATTAACACTTTATCTAATATATTAATATATTAAATATGAATAATCTCCCTTATTTAAAACCCGACTTTCTTAAGAGTGGAAACGTTATAATTTAGAGAACTTCTTGTAAATAAAATAATAGTGCAGTCGTTATGTTTACCTACGTAGTGTTTCTTTTATTTTATTTTTAAGGATTTGTCATGACCGCCATTTTTTACACTCATGATAAACATTTTATATATATATATATATATATATTTTTTACATAGGTCTTGACGATTATTACTTTTATTCTAGTCCAGGAATAATACTTTAAAAGGACGGTAGGGAACTTAGGGACACCCTGTGTATTTAAGATTGATTGCTCAACAAACTGCAAAAAAATATCATTTGACTTTGAACAAAGGATACACTTTTAAGATTAAACCTGAAACTACTAACAGTCGATACTAGTTCTAATTTCCTTCATCAACGCTAGAATGTAAGAGGATTGGGTGTAATCTTCTCTTTCATCGTCCAAAGAAATTGATTGGTCCAATATTGCCGTAATTGCTAGCGATGGCGTCTCTTGCTGGACCGCCTGACACAACTCTTGTGATACGACTTTCACAGCAATTCATTCGATTTGTTCTTGCAATTTAAAGGGTTTTATTTTTGCTTAAAACATAGTTTAATCGTATACTTATTGAGGTATTTATATGGCAATCTTAGTCCATTTTCTATGCATTTTCTGTAAAGGGAATTAGTTATTACCATTGTTTGTCTCATGGTAAGATCTGGCCCCAGGACCGGTTTAATTTTTTATTTTGAAGACCCAAGAGGTCAAAAACTGAATTTATTCTAATTGAAATATATAAGTATTTGTATATGTTTATATATGCTTTGGGGTTTTTTCGATAGCACGAAAACTCCAATTAGCAAAAATGAACCGAATATGCTTAAGTTTAGTGTTAACATGTAAACCTTTATTCGAACGGGTTCGTGAACCAGAACGATCAGACTTTGGGAACGGTATTTTATGGAGTAAAGATTTGTTTTTCAAATTTTTGACCACGAACTCGGAAGAATAAAATCGAACTTAAAAACTGTTCTTACACATGTTAAACGTATTATTCTATCCAAAAATAAAACTTATTGTAGATTTTAAAAACATTAATTTATACTTTTTCAAATGTTCTTTAAATATAAATTCACACGACAAATTGAAAAACCACTTTGTTAACTTGTAAAGTATATAATATTGTGACATTGGTTTGGAATCCACTACATAAAAAAAAACTATTTCCATCTGAAATTATGTTTATTTATTTAAGGAATGTTGTTTATCACCATTAATGTAATCAAATATCTTAGTTTTATAGAGAACAATTCGAAGAATGCCTCTAAATAGGTTGTTGAACGTAAACGTTCACTTGAAGCGGAATCTTGTTTCCTTTCACTGGCTTTGCTCTTTTAAGGGCCTAATTAACAACCTCATTTAACGTTTTGTGCTTTGTATCTGTATTTACTGACTTAGGTACGTAGGAACCAGGTTGAAACACCAAGTCTAGTTGGCCTAATAATATATATTAGATGTATTTATATTTGTTTTACATTAGCATCTTCTTTACGGAACAAGAATGCATGTATGTAAAAATGTAATAGTTGATAATCGAAACGATAAACTACCTTTAGGTTTATTGATTTACAAATATATTACTTATTGACTTTAACGAACAGTAATTTCAGACTTAAGAAAAAATCAAATTTTTCAACTTATAAAGAAACATAACGTTTTCAACACAAATAAGAACTTTGAACGTTGAATATTTTTTTATTATTTTAATTAATAATAACACTATATAAAAAAATATTAACTAACCGTTCCCCTGTTTAGACAAAATTCGGCTACTAACAGAATTGTATTTATAAGTCAACTAATAAACTCTTTGTTGCCATTAATACATAGTTGTCTGAATTCATTCCGGCTTCTAACGACACTTAACGATACGAATACAGACTAATTGTATTTCTTTTTTTAGCAGGATAGTCATCAAGAGTTGAATAGCAAATTACAATGAGTAATTAATTAATCTTTATTTCAAAATTATTTTACCCATATTTGCATTTGGAAAATATTTTCTGTGATAAACTCTTTTTTTTGTTACAATAATTTTGACTTTTTCTGCCGTGTACAGCACATTTTAGCGTTTCCAATTCTATTGTAGTGGTCGATTCCTATTTTTTTTAATTTGTGAAAGCTAAGATACACACTGTTGCACAAGCTATATTGCATTCGTTTATGAAGCTTTGCCATGCGTTACATCTGTATTACTGTAGAAAATTATGTATGTTGAGTCTATACCAACATATTTAATCGAATGAAATATTTACAAATGAGGAATTTATATTTGACAGTAAGAGGAAAGGGGGCTAAGACAGCAACAACTTTACAGGATTTCTTGAGCCTGATTAAGAAACACATTTTACTTCCCAGGGCCATAAGCGCGAATAGGAAGAATGTTCACAGCTGGCAAAAATGTTACTCCTTAGCGCTAATCAGTTTATCTGAGTATCATAAATAGGAAACACATCCAACACATAGCTGGAAACAACACGGGTTTAAATCGTTCCGCGGATTTATTTGGTAATTTAAATTTCATTAATTAAATTAAGCCACTCAAAAGTGTTATATCTTTCTACCTTGGTAGTTTATGCTCTAAATTAAAATAAAATAAATTCTGCATGTTAAGTTGTAACAAAATGGCCGCCATTTATAATTACGTTTCTTATATAACTAAAAAAACAATTGATTTTACAAAAAGTGTATTTTTATGGCCACCATTTTGTTTTTGGAATTTGGAAAATTGTCATGATTTTTTGTAGCTTTGTCTAGTCGTCCTTAATGTTCCACATAATTTCAATTTCGTATGTTTAACAATCCTTAAAAAATAATAATAAGTGAAAAAAGACGGCTGTGTAACTAAGGACTTCCGGACAGTTTAAATGTGATATTTAGATATGTTTCTTACCCAGTAGCAATACCCAAAAGTATTGGTAGATAGTTCTGGGACACTCTGTGCAGCTATGTTTAGGCAGGTTAGGTTGTTATATTTTCGTAAATATAAACAGAGTTGACGAATTGCCTTTTATTTATTTTTTTTTGCTTAGGCTAGTCTTTTCTCTTGTGGAAATTCGTTTGAAAGGTAAAATCAAACGATTGCAGTTCAAATTTGAAGGAAAACTGATAGTTTTTCAGAGATTTTTTTTTCACACGATTGTGCAAGTGCTTCATTTATTAACAAAATATTCTGTTGTAGCTTTCATCGTACAAAAATCACTTTTTTTTAATCCATTGTATGCCGGGGAGGGGGCTACTCCGTAGGTGTAAGTATGTGTGCGTTAGTGTGGATGTGTGTCTGTCTGTCTTTGTGTGAGGATCCTTACTGCGCGGGCTGCTACCATCGTCCCATTACTTGTATAGTTCTTATTTTTATTTAAAGCTTTATCAATGTTGTTTCCACACATACCCTTCTTTGATAAGCTTATATGAACAAATTTTATAAATTTTAGGTTTGTTTTTAGTATAAAACAATTCTACTAATTGAAATGTGTTATTGCAAAAATCAAACCTGTTTCAAAAAGGTTTTAAGTTTTATAAATGATTAAAATGTTAATACAACACTAAAACAATTCTCATATCTTTAAAATTAAGATCGTATCCAACGGGAAACTTAACATTATAGTTTTACTAAGCACGTTGGCTAAGTAGAGTCTTTTAATTAATTACGAGACATTGCTGGTTCAAAACCAGCAGCTTTTAACATATCGTTACTAAATTCACTAAAACGTATATTAAGACTCATATTTTACAGGGGGTTGATATCCATAACCTTCATATTTTAGGGAAAAATATTAATATATTCGTTTACGGTAAAAAAAAAAATTAAAAATATGGCTTATAAGCCATTTAACTCTGCAAAAATGTGTAAAAATATTTTTTTTTTTACAAACCCTTAAAATTCAACTAAATCCTATTCAGACCAAGTAGAGAGATTTTATTAATTATTAATCTAGCAAAAAAATTCACACAGAAACAATAATTGACGCTTCCCTAAGAAGACAATCCAAAATACTACACAACGACACTTGTGACGCCAAAATTTCGTAAGTGCTACTACAACGTCGTATATATTGATTATTTAAGGGCCGTGGCGCCTGGGCGTGCGCGTTACGCGCCCTAGCGGCAGTTAACCGTACCATCGTCAGTAGCGGAGTAGACTTCTACCCTTGCAAAGGTACCTGTCAAAACCCAACCCTGCATGACCCTGTCTGCTGACAGTTTCCTTATGGTGTCGGAAATTAGAGAGTGATTTTAATTTTATTTTATAAATATAGTTTTACTCATCATCAGTGATTTAAAATTAGTTTCTTTGTGTGATGTTAAAAATATTATTACTTTGATCAGTTGGAATCTTGGACTTTTTTACCAGGTAGTGATTCTTTTTGGATATAGTACTCAAAACATTATAAATGTTTAGGTGTAAAATATTGTGATTTTTACAGTGCAATTTTATTACATTATATCTAAAGAAACATTTTTTTAATATAATTTTTAAGAATGACTGTGTACAAATGTTTACTCAGTGACAAATATTACAACTTACTACCTACTACAACCTACTATGGTGTGCCCATGGATGGTTTTGGCAGTGCTACGTCCCAGCTCCGCTCTGACGCATGATTTGTCTCCGGAAAGCAATTTTGCCAGCGACAAATCACCCAGAAGTTAATTGCTTTTTATTTTGTCGATCGGGCGCTTCCAATCTGACAGGATTTTGGGATTAAGTGGCTAAATTGTGTGTGTTTGTGGCAATGGATATCAAGGGGGTGAAAGGATTAAGCGGATTTAAGTGAAAGGTAAGATTGTTTGTTATTGTGTCAAAAGGTTAATCAATTATTCTCTGCTATGCAGTGCTTGGAATTAGTTTAAAAAAGGAATATTAAGTTATAATTCATAGGGATACGTAATTGACTTAATTAACTATTGTAAATACAAATGATTTTATGACTAGCCTACATATAATATTTATAATAATCTCAATATTTTATAAAGCAATTTCATTTAATAAATATGCAAACTATAGTTATATGGTTATATGTTTACTGCATTTCAATCTTAGATTTTATTTTAACTGTATTCGTCATGTTAGTCATTAAGACGTATTACAGCTTAGGCAAAAACATTTCCCATTTGAATTTGTACACTGCTAAGTAAAAATAAGTAAAGTAAAGCTGTCTCTTAACCTGTCTTCCTGAAAAATATTTAACTTATAAAAAACCCTGCGCCGTAATGATTGGCATAAAATTGACGTATGTAATGGATGAGACGTGTTTGGGAATACTTTGTCAGATATGAATAAACTGTAGTCAATGCAATCAAAAACCATGTAAAGCGAAAAGCCTTTGGAAGATGACTTTAAAACAATATTGAAAGATTAATATAAACTGTCAAATTTACGTTTGATGAAAGATACAAAGTATTTTCCTATTTTAATGGGTAAGCTATATGATAATTTCCAGAATGTACTAGTCTTTAATCGGCAACTGTAAAACTAATTTAACCATACAAAACTATTTTAAGCAAAACTATTATTGTTTTGACTAGTTTCATCCGATAATTTATTATTTTATTATTTTCATTATTTTATTATTTCACAAGGATTTCCAAAATACAAACCATTGTGATGAGGCACTTTACTTCAATAACAGTTTTATGCATGCATAAACGGGTTCATGCTTTTGTTTTATGAAGCTAATACTAGATACCGAAGAAATATTAAGATATATGTTAAAGAAATGAATATAACCGAAGGTTAGGTAAATTGTAAAATTTCATTTATGTTTCGGGGCGTGGCTAGTCTAAGGACAGAATAACAATATTTTAATGAGTAATTGGGATTAAAGTTTCAAGTTTAAATCACCTGTGGGAATATTTGTTGGTAAAAGTTGGTTTAAGGGAATTAAATGCGTGTTGTTTTAGTGTGTAGTAACCTTGAGTTATTTTATGTGTCTAATGATAACATGATGCCTAACGAAGGTCTCAAAAAATGTAAATTTATAAGATATTGGTGCAGTTCCTATTTTAAATTATATTTAAACCACTGTATACTGTTATTATTGAAGATTTTTTTTTACAATATAAGTATGCAAATCTCTGTCACTGATAGATGATAAGTATACATACTTGTTTATATTTAATGTGAATAAGTGAAACACAGATGAAGATGAAAAATTTTTTCATCAGTCCTTCAACCATCAGTAAATTTATGACTAGTTGAACAATTATGAATTATACACCATTCAGTTTGGAGCGAACACATAATTAGTATAACTCATTGAGCCGTCCTAGAACTATAATTTGTCAACGAAAATTGCCGAAGGTCTATACACTATACAGGGGAAGCACTCTCTCCGTCTAGAGGGTGAATTTTAAGGAAACATATAAAGACTTTTTTACTCATTTAGATCATATTAGATCTTTTATTTCCATTAGATATTCTTTGGAATACATTGGATATTTCAGGTTGCAATATGTAATGTATACAATAATAAAATGAACACAGTGCTCGCCCATCTTCACGTAAAATCATTGTAAGTCAATTTTCCTGTCAAATATTCATCAATTGAATAAAATGTCTTTGCAGGTAAGAACCTGGTTACAACAGTTTTTAAATTTGATAATGTGCATGCCCCTAATTGAAAGGGGTAGCTTATTAAATAACCTTATGGCTAGTTCAGATGGCTTTTTCATTGATTTACTTAGTCTAACACAAGGCAATTGTAATCCATATATTATTCTAGTGTTGTAAGAGTGCACGTCATTATTACGCATTTAAATCTGTTTGGTTAATAATGAATAGCAAGTTTTGCAGATTAATGGAAGAGTAAACAACTTAAATTAACAAACCATGATTCATAGTGAATTTTATAATGGACCCCTGCAATGATTCGGACAGCACGTTTTTATAGGATAAAACATTTGTTGATGCCGAGGAACGCCCCAGACGATCAAACCATAAGTAATTCTAGCATGAAATAATCCAAAATAGGCTACAATATACAATAACTATAACTATAACAATAACTAACTACATTTTGCGAGACGACACGATAGAGTCGTCTTAGCGCAAAAATGGCAAAATTCGATCTCATGCATACTTCCGATAAGTGCATACCCCCTCCTCCTTGGTCAGATCCCTCATAAGTTCTTCCTCTATTCAAAAATTTAATTGTTGGCATCCAGCCAGCCACTCGCCTTGTTAACATTTTCCTGGATGTCAAATTCAGCCAATTCTTTGATTTTGATTTTAGTGATCAATGCGGTGTCGTCTGCGTACATGAAAGTTCCAGATGGCATTAACTTCTGGATCATTGATTAACGCAAAAAAGAGTAGAGGCATAAACATATTGAAATCCATTTTTTAGATAACTTAAAAAAATAACAACTCCCTGCCTCTAACATTATAATAACTTGCCTTGTCTAACAAGTAAGTTTAGTTGTCGTTGACTATGTCAAAAGCCTTGCCGAGGTCGCAAAATGTGGCCTTTTATAAGCTCTCTCAACTCAAAACAGTCCAACATTTCCTAAACCAGATTTTTCAAGGCTGTATTTGTCGAAACACCCTTTCATCGACTTTGTCATACTAAAAGCTTGTCCAAAAACTAGAGATTTAAATGTTTTAATAAGTAATTTTATTCATTAAACCTTGTCGATTAATGTTTGACAACAATTTAAATATCGTGTTTGTGTCATGTTGTAACATAACCACTAAAGGCGTCTTCATTTAACTGTGCATAAACGCATTTTTGTAGTGGATGGGAAAATCTTGTAAAAACAGTATTTAATAGTTAAAACTAAATTAAAAAAGGATGCATGATATTGAATTTAAAAACAAAATATTATTGCATAAGACCAACAAAGCTATAACTATAAAGCAATTAAACCATATAAACACTATTTATTGTGATATACAATATACATAATATTGTTATTGATTATCGTTGATTTTAAAATTTTAAACCAATCAAACTAATGTACGATTATAATTGTTTACGAATTATTAACTGTTATAGAAATACTTAATTATGTTCTGATATATATTGATGGTTTGAAATACATTTAGAATAAATCGTTGATACATTAGTGAGAATATAATACAAGAGATTAAATAATTAATTACAATTAGTCTGATATAAACAGAAAGGTTAAATAAATAACATAAAACCCAATGTATTGCCCTTTGGGATGATTTTATTGTAGCTAACAGAGTGCATTATAATATGACGGGTTTTAATGTAATAGCTTTATTAATTAAATGATTAACCAGGGTTTTATCCATTAAAGCTCTTTGTACAAATCAGGAATGATTCAGTTATGGAATTAAATCAAGTATTTGAAATAACAACTAAACTTATGCTATTTGCTGTTTGTTTAGTTCAGCATTTTATGGAAAAACTAACGTCAAACACACGGTAGATAAGTTAGAATCCTAAACACACGCCAAAGAGCCACACAGATGGGAATGCCCCAGGTAATACAACCTAAATAGCCTTTGAGACTCGGGACTTTTATCTTGCCTTTATTTGCCTTCATTTCCCACTTTTCTCCTGCTGGTATTTTCATCTCCAAAGACGCTTAAAAATAGTTTAAACTTAGATTATTAGTTTAGAAAATATCATATTGCACAGTGTCAGGCATAGGAATATTTAATACAAAGTAATATTTAATGCATAGAAATATTTAATACATATAAATATTTAATACATAGTAATATTATCATTTAATACTTTACGTAAAAACAGACTAAACAACTTATAAACAGTCGATGATAATAAATATGGACACATAAACATTTTAACGGCAGTTTGTTAAAAAGAAAATAGGATCCAACATTTTAAAGCCAACACTAACTTAAATCAGTTGTCTATAACATCCAAACAGAGAAGACACTGGGCTCGGCTGTCCGGAAGAATCGATATTAATAATTTGATGTGAAAGACTGATTTGGTTTGTAATTCTAGGACTTAATAATAACTGTCCCAGTTTCATAAACGTCAAGTCAACCAAGAAAAAAAAATAACAAATACAATATTGAGGTACATTTAAAAATACACCTTCTAGACATATTTTTTCAACAAAATACGAACCTTGGCACTATTTAATAAATTTTTACGTATATTTTTCACTTTATTTACAATGCAGTAAGTTTGTTTGGAAAATAAATGTTTCAATGGCAATGTATTTCGACCAGTGACAACAGTCATCATTACCTCCATTTGAAAAATGTATACGTTTTATTTACCAACCCTGAATATTCCATTTATGTTTTAAAATTATTGTATATTTAAAATATTACAAATTCGTAAATACAGCAATATAAATAAAAGACCACCACTGCAGCACACTTACAGACTAAGTAAATGTTCATTCAATTAAAATCGTACGTATATTCTATTTAAATAATATTGGAGTTAAAGAACACAAATGTTTGCTGCGTAGGGAAAGGAAAAAAGTATTTTTGATCAAATTATAACAGTAAAGGATAATATAAACTAATTTGCCAAACTTGATGAAAATCGGCTAAATAGGCTTTACCCACAACTGTTAACTTTTATAGAATAACATGGGAATCGTTGCTTACAACAATAATTCAATACACAAAACCCAGCTACAAGTGAAACTGGACATCTTCGTGTTAAAGAGGAAAATACGAAAAACCCGTTTTTGGAAAGTGTTATACCCCGTTTCAACAATCTAATCCATATAATTCGCGAACTCATTCTAGCCCTATTCTATATATTTGTACACATTCATATAAAATTTGATCGTCATCTTACAAAAATTGCTTAAATTATCG